AGCATGTGACAAGTAGTTTGGTAACTGAACAACCTACCTGTGAGCCTTCATCCAGCGCCTGCCCAGGTACGATATCTCCGAATCCTATTGTGCTAAAATGAAAAATGAAGCGTTTGTAAAAAAACGTCATCAAAGTAAGCCTCGTCAAAATCTATGCTCTTCAGATTACTATAGTTCATAGGCAGACCCGCGGAACTAAAGTGTCTGAGTCGTTTGGTTGGTCACATTCTTTAGAACGCATTCTTTGCAGGTCTACGTAAACTGCTATCCAGTTGCCTCTTACTTTTGTAGCTCCAAGTTATGTAAGCCTACCTTAAAGTGATAAAGCAGTAGTAGGCGCCATCAAACGGATTCCATCCTTCCCACCAGCTAAACAGCACTGCTCCTCCTAAAATCAAGCATAAAAATTTGTGTGCAGCAGCTATAAGAATTCTTGACTAAAGAGTTTGCATACCTGAGATGAAAGCGAAAACGATACAGATACCAACACTAACGGGCATTTTCTCTTTGTTATTGCCATAACCCTAAAAAAATTATGTCGCCAACGACAAGAAAAACAAGCAATAATGCTACGGTTTGCCAGTTACGGTATTCCTTTCACAATACTGAAATTGCTGATTACTTGCCTGCCGTCGTATCGAATGTAATGACATCTCATCTGACCGTTCTGACCGATCTGACCTATAGGAGCGGCCGTCGAATTCGCGTATTCTGAAGTTTTTTGAAAGTAAAAGCCTAGGTTTACGCAGTTATGTATTACCTTCGCGACATTGAACTATCCATACTTGGTTGTTTCAAGGGTGCTTCATGGTAGGAATGGTCTCGGTTGTCTCGTCGGAGATCGCGTACAAGATCTCGTGCCATATCGTTCGGCTCGCGCTGTGATGGCTTGCGATCGACATCTTCATCATCGGAGAATGATAACTATAAATGCTTGGATAGCTTGTCTGATTAGAACGAAAGAAGTAAATGCATTGGTCCGCCTTTCTACACCGCTGTACAGATACAATAAATTTCAAGTGGAACCGTTACAAGCAGAAGGAGTATGTCTTTCTGATTCAGGACAGAAAAATCAGTTTATATTTTTGCAGTATAAACTCGAGCATTTGAATAAGAAGATATTCCACGCTACTTAGGCTGCGTCCAGAGTTGGCCTTGCTAAGCTGTGTTGTAACGTCAATTAATCAATAGTGACAGTGCCACGTAGGTTCCGACCCGACACGGCGTTGGCACAGCGCCGGCACACCGGCAAACAGGGCCCGGCACTAGGTGTCAAATGACAAGCTGGAAATCGTTTTCGGCAAAAA